GTTTCCAATTTCATTGAAATATCATGAAAAAATGAAATAAAACCATATAGGTGAGGGCAAGCTAACACGGAACTCAGAAGGCCAGAGAGCTATCTGATCTCAACCTTGAAATCTGAGGTGAGATTGTGTGTAAATCTGCTGGACTCTTGGTCACATGGTTTTTCATCTGGAAAATCCACTGGACTCCAAGCTCCACTAGGAGAGCTCCTCCACCTGCCTCATTCGCTACAACATCTCAGCTCTCTTGTATAATTCCAGATACAAAATAAGTGGTGAGGCGATATTTGTCAAGTGAAAACATGATCTGTTCTAACCCTTCCAGCTTTGAAAATCAAAGGTCCTTCATCCAGACCAAGGCTGAGAAGTTACCCAAGACTGAGAACCAGGGCCATTGCCAACTTGGCACCAACTTCCTCAGCTGCCTCATAAGATGGCATCATGCTGGACTCTGAGCAACGCTGGGCAAGCAAAAAATCTGATTCAGAGCTCAAGTGATATTTTTTTTTGAAGCCCTGACTTCATGATTTCATTCAAAACTGACTTTCATCCCAACTGAAGAATTTATCAAAATCCCAGGAAAACAAATAAAAAATTGTTCCCCTCCTCACCCTCTCCCCTCCAACTCACTATAGTGCTCATCTCCACATCCTTCCCAACATCTCTTGCTGATGATAATCCCAGAAACATTTACAGCAATTGCCTGAGTATATTTCTTTTCTTTCTTTGGTGAAACTACAATTTTGCTATTTATGAAAGTCACAAATGGAATGCAAATGTGCCCCCTTTGCTTTTCCATATTGTTATCAACTCTGATTCTGATTTAGAAGGGGAAAATGTTGCATTCGTGAGAACACTCAAATTTTAGCACAAATTTCAAAAGGAAAGTCAGGTTCTCTCAGTTATTGGAGGTGCAGAAACATGATGGTTCATTAACCTATTCCAACTAAGGCATTCTACCCGTTCCTACAATGCTCCCATCCAACCCTCCCCCAATACACACACATCTCCTTCTGAGTTGATGACAAAGCAAGACCATTATTGCTTTTGTAGTTATTTAACTATAAAGGTGCTAGGTCAGAAGTTTGGATGATCATTATTTATTCTTGAGGGTTTTTTTTTAAAAAAGGTTGAATTGGTTGAAAGGACTAGCCTTTTCCTTGTGAAAAGATGTAAATGGAAATTTATGATTATGGTCTCAAAAATGATGAAGGATGTACAGTGAGTAAAGACAGATCTGTTCCTTGAATCCTGACATGCCAGAACTAAGGGGATACAGTAAGAATCGAAGGAAGTGTCTGCTTACAAATCCATTTAGAACTTCCCTGAGAGCCAGAGGAAACCTCAACAATCCCAGAACCCCAGATTTGCTGGGGCCCAGGGGAGTCCATTTGAATTAGAATTCTCTCTCTGCCTACCCAGCCACCTTCTGCAATTTAGCCTCTCTGAGCCTCAGATTGCTCAAATGCAAAATGGAGATGGTGGTATCTATATGAAAGAATTGCCAAGAGGACTAAATAAGAGAAAGAACCCCGAAAGGTGCCTTTTAATTGTGTGTGCTCGTAAATGTTCTTTCCCTGCATGCTCCTTCCCACATTTGACTTTCCCCTTCTCCCCAACCAGTAACTTGGACAAGGTGTTATTAGTATAGATCTTATTGTTCCCAAGAGAAGTGGTTTGGGTGAAATTTCTGTCTAGCTGGAGTGGGGTTGGGTGAGTTTATTAGATGTGTAAATGGTAGCTAGGATTTTGGAGTTTCTATGAATTTAGGCTCTGGGTAGGTCCCCCTTCTTGAGGCTGGCAGCTACAAGGACAAGCCACCCTCAGCCAGTGTCAAAGACAAGAAAGGGCTTTCCCACTGCTTTGCATTGACCCTGTGGGGCCCCTTTAGGCTTCTGTGGAGCCTCCTGCTCCTTGATTCCTCATTAAGACAAACTTCCAGCTCTTATTAGTTGCCTGAATAGCTAATATACTCCATTAATTTGAGTTAAAATGTTCATAGGTGGTAAGGGTTTAATTTGCTGCCACTCCCATAGAACTCCTACATTTTAACCCATGCATTCAATGACTTGACCTAAAGAAATGATTACTATGGGATCTCCCAGTTTCCTGGGAAATTCTAGGCAGGAAAAGGGACTTGGTTAAACATAGGAGTCAGGAAGGGTGGGGATCGGGTGGCCAAGTCAAGCGTGTGCCCATGTGGCAGTTTACATCAGCAGCCTGACGTTTGCTGTTAATCCTTCTTCCCCTGTTCTATATTCCAGGAGCAAACTTGGTTTTCAGGGTCGTGGATGTGCACAGTTCATGGATAAAGTGGCTGGCCCAAGAAGATTCCAACCTTATAGATAATGGTCCCAGGGGTCCTCTATCACCCTTCAAGTAAAGTCCCAATTTCAACCACTCACTCCAAGAACAGCCTCTATGTTAATAAGGCTACTCTATTCTTCAGCAGATGTACTTAAGGATATCTCCCTGTTGTCTGGGTACAAGGATTTCTCTCTAAGTGAAGAAATTTCTTGATTTGGTGAATTTTCGGATCGTGGCAGTACCTCCATCATGTTTTCTGAGTACAGCTGGTGAAGAAGCAAAGACTAGGGGAGAGAACCGCCTGCTAGTTTCTTCTTGCTCTTTCGGGTGATCTTATTCATCAATTAAAGCTAGTCAGAAGATCCTAGCTCTACTGTATCACATCTTAGGTTATAATTAGGCACTTGAATGTCTGGTTTCCTTCTGAATAGAGAGCTACTAAAGGATAGAAAATTAAGTGTCCCTATCCCCTGGCATGATGCTGGTGCTTGCTCATTAAGTACCGCTGAGCCCTGGAGTGAATGGGGAGGAGTGGTTGAAGTATTGAGCAGCACACCAGATAAACCCTGTTCATACCCTCCCAACTACTGGTCTCAGAAAAGCAAGACAAAATAACAAGAACTTCACACCTCCTAAGCTACCCATCAAGCAAGTTAGAGGGAAAGATCGAGGCACTTAGAAACCTAGGAGACAGGATGGTTAGTGGACCACATGGGAAAACTTTTGATGTTTTGTCCCTGCCTCTAACAGATAGGGAGTATGGCATTCAACATTGTGCTCAATATCACAAAGTCTCTCCCCATCCCAAATGTGTGACACTCTGAAGAAGCTCGCCATAAAAGGAGTACAGGTGCATAGACTTGCTAGGGCAAGAAGCAAATGAAGTGAGGTAGTAGGAATTAGTACACTTCTCTTTCGGGGGGGGGGGACATCTGCTCCTGGCACTCAGAGGAGGCCAATACAGAACTTTCCTCACTTCTCTATGCTGCTTTCCCACTCTGCTTTCCAAGCAGGGCTCCCAGTGGCAACAAAGTCCAATAGCCCCCCAGCTTGGAAGCTTTCCTTTTGCTCATCCTTCTTACATACCAAGAGAAACATGGACTCTGGACACAGGCAGAACTTTGTTGGGGAAATCAAAAAGGGCCTTTTACCTCTCCCATAGCCATCCTGGAGAGACTTGGCTGCTGCCAGCCCTTCCTCAAGCCTCTCTGAATTGTCCTGAGGACTCAATCAATGTGTCACTCCCTTTCCTTTGCAGGTGCTCTGAGACAGGACACTCCATATAGCTTCTCCAGCAGGGTCTTCTCACACTCAAATCTTTAGGACTCTTTCACAAACCAGATGATCATTTCTGGAAACTTACATTTCCTGATTTCAGGAATTGTTACAATTAGTGCAAGGGGAGAAAAGGGGAATTATCTAATTCCAGAAAAATTTAACTGGGCCCTTCCCACTCCAGGCTAATGGCTGGTGCAAAATGTAATTTCAGCTAAATTGTCTAAGGCTGTAAAAGCGCGAAATGTTCAGCAAGGAGGCAGTACCTCTTGTGGGAGCCATATTTTTCTATAAGGCCTTTTGATCAAGATAGGACTCCAGGGAGGGGGGTAGTTATTGATTTTACTAGAAGAAAACAAGAGCTAGGGAGATGAAGCCTACTTGGAGTCAGCACCTCCACGGCCAAGGCAGGGTGGGCACTGAGTCCATCATTGCAGGTAGAACAACCACTCCAGCGGGAGCACGGGATCTAGCCATGACTGAGTGACTTCCACAACTCACAGAGCTCTCAAGATCCAGTCTTGGGTCTCTAAAGGGACAAAGAGGCTGGCTGGGATGTGGCTCAAGCGGTAGCGCGCTTGCCTGGCATGCGTGCGGCCCAGGTTCGATCCTCAGCACCACATACAAAGATGTTGTGTCCGCCGAGAACTAAAATAAATAAATAAATAAATATTTTAAAAAAAAATAAAAAATAAATGGACGAAGAGGGAGGTGGCTTTTCGCAGACTAAGCGCTACGCCCACAGACTGCAATCTGCATCTCGTTGAAGTTGGCCTGTCTTAGACACCTTCCCTTCTTCCGCCTCTCCTCCTAATTCGTCAACTGCTGAAATATCTGCCTGGTTGAAACCGCCTCCTCGCTGCGCTCAGGGTTCTGTCCCCAGGTGTTGGTCTTTGTGTCGGGAAAACTTTGAGAGGAAGCGAGGGTGTTGGACAAAGAGCGGGCGAGGGAGGGCGTTTGCCAGCCGGCAGTGTGCGCCGGGAGGTGCGCGCTCTTCCCAGAGCTCTGCTCGGTACCCGATCACACTCGGTGCCCCCAGCCCAGCCTTCCTAGGCTAGGAGTGGCAGGCTCTGGCCATATCCTCGCGCCCTCGGGAGCTGAAAGAAGCCAGGGGGAGAAGCAAAGGCAGGCGGCTGGACGTTGGAGTTGGTGGGAGGAGGAGAGCAGGGGCGCTGAGCAAAGCTGTCAAACTGCGCGCGGAGCGGGGCGCGGGGCGGGGAAAGGGAGGGGAGGGGTGGGGAGGGGAGGGGCAGGCAGCAGCCGAGAGAGAGCGAGCGGGCTCGCCTCGCCTGAGCAACCCCTGTCTGTCGCTGCCGCTGCCGCCGCCGCCGCCGCTGCCGGCCCGGACTCGCCCGGAGCGCAGGGTGTCTGCCCCGCTGCGCGTTGCGCGCGGAGGCTCTGGCGCCCGCCGCTGAGCCCTCCAGCCTCTGCGAATCGCGCCGGCCCGCGTGGGTCCCGGCGGGCGTAAACCCACCATGCAGCTGCAGTTCCGGAGCTGGATGCTGGCCGCGCTCACCCTGCTCGTGGTCTTCCTCATCTTCGCAGACATCTCCGAGATCGAAGAAGAAATCGGGTAAATAGCTTCGCCCGGGCAGTGCCACGAGCCCTGGCGGGATCTCTATTCCCCCCCGTGCTTTTCGCCCCCCACCACATCCCGCTTTGTGTGCGCCGCGCCCCCCTGTCCCTCAGTTGGAGAGGCGGGGGTCGGTTTTGGCTGAGCTGGTGTTGTCAGGGACCCGGGACGGTTTGGGGAGCGGATGGTGCGGGCGCGGCTGCCATGGGGTGTCCCCAGGCGGGATGCACGGGCAGCCCCCAGCTTCCCCGCCTGCGGAAGCAGATCGCCCACCCTGCCCCCTTCCCGGCGTGTCCGCGCGCAGTGTCGCCCGGGTCGAGGGAGGGCGCCGGGGAGTGTCTCAGGCGGGTGGAGGGGCTGAGAGTAGAGGGAGGCAGGAGTTTCTTTGTCTCCAGCTCGGCCGTTTTCTCGCCTTGGCAAAGTGGGCAGGGGGCGTGCGGGGATGTCTGAGCGGGGGGGAGGGGATCCCCGGGCCAGAGCAGAGGGCGGGGCCCTGCACCTACTCCCGGGAAGGGGAATGTTCCCTGAACACACGGACACACACACACACACACCCCTCCCGCCCCCCTGGATCCGGGCGTCGGGTTTGGCATCGCTGGAGATGGGGTGTGTGGGCTGGAATGAGACCCCCACCCAGGCCTGGTTTTAGAAGCTCAGCCTGCCAACCCCAAAGAAGCCCCCAGCGACCTGGGGTTGCCGTGCGCTCGCAGCGCAGAGACAGACGTTTCAGCAAAGTCTGTACTGCCGCCCGGTGGGCTTCAGGGCCCCCAGGAGCGCAGGCTTGTTCTGGGCTCTCCCGTTGTCTTCAGAGGTGGGGACCCCCAGCTTCTCTTGGCTAGAGACTTCCTGGAGTGCGCACTTGCAGCGCGGGACGCACCTGCACCTGGTGTGTCCCAAAGCCTGAGAGTCGCGCCCCACCCCGCAGCCTCTCGATCCTCCAAAGGAAGGTGGACAGGGGAGGAACCAGCCAGGTTTTGAGGCAACATGACAGGGAGAAAGTGTATTCTCTGGGAAGGTGGTCTGCCCCTTCCTCTGTGGGATTAGTGCCTAGATAGGCGCGGTATCGAGTCCCGCACCGCGTGCTCCCCTCCTTTGTCCCATTTGATATCTCATTCATTATCAACACGAATTGAGGGCCTGCCACGCTGTCAGGCACCTCAAAAAGGATATGCCTTCTTGACGCCAAGATGCGAAGGCCCCCAAGGACCCTAACCTGGGGGCTGGCGCCACTTGCCTCTCTCTTTTCTCCCTGCCTCTGCCCATCTATCCCTGCAACCTCACAATTCCTTCTGTGGATTCCATTGTGCCTCAGGAACCCTTCTGTCTGGCTCTTTCTCCTCTCCATTCTGGGTTTCCCCAAGAGCTTTGAAAACTTTCACAAATGTTGTTCAGTTAATACTGTACATGCCACCAGCTCCCACAAGAAGACAGAAACAAGTTACTTTTCCCAAGTTTTCACCTCAAAAACGTGGTCCCAAAAGGAAATTGGTCAAGATCCAGCTCATAGAAGATGTAGAAAGGAGATCCTTCCTCTCGGCTTCCTGGCCTCTGCCTGAGATGTGGGCTCTACCTGGCATAGATCTCCTCCTGACATTTGAGCATGTGAACGAAAAGACCAGCAGTTTCCCATTGTTCTGCAATGAAAACATAGAAAGTACCACTTTTATGCAGGCATCCCTTGCTTATCCATTCACTGAACTTTTACGCAATACTTTCTACATGCCAGGACTTTTAATTTTTTAAATGCATTAAGAGATCACTTTGCACCTAAGTTGCACTTTCCTGCCAAATGTATTGTGAAGCCTCCATTTCCACATCAAGTTGTTCTAGTAGGGTATGGAAGAATGAACCCCAAGGCCTGAGCTAAGAAAGGCATTTGCATATAAAGTATATATTTTAAAACCCAGGGCTCTTCTGCTATGAATGTGTCCCCTGGGACTTGTTTCATGTGATGGTCCCTACTTCTTTTTATCTTACCCCTGCCTGGTATGATCCTAGGAAAAAATTGCCAAGGAGGTCAATTTTGGCGTCTTCCTTCCCTCTGGTGCCTCTAGTCTACAGGCTTACTCTTGGCTTGGCCAGTCATCACCCAGGGCTGAGACACCACCCTCTCCTACTCTAATGCCTTGGGCCAGTACTCTACAGGTCATGTGATTGGAACCAACACACAAGTCCCACCCACAAATGGTCATACCTATGTTTAATTCAGAGGGGAAAAGACCTATCTGGGATTCTCCATGGTTGGGAGAGGAAAGATTTGAGACAGTGGATGAGAGAGAATCCACCAGCATCTTCTCTCTGTTTACAATACAGTTTAGCACACAGCCACTTAATTAATCCTTGGAATCACCCTAACTTTGAATAATGGGGCTCAGTGCCAGTAAGTGCTCTGGCTCAGAGGCCACTGAGGGGTGTCACAGGGCTCTATCTTCTTCACCATATGCCTTTCCAGGAGACCTTGGATCCTACTCAAGTCTGTAATGTGGTTGCATCAACCCTGCCCACCTTTCCCCAACTTGCTCTTTATCTGTGCTAGAAGCATTACAAATTACCTGCCAGTGTCAGTCCCTAGAAGGAAACTATGGTTCCGTAAGAGATGGCTGGGGATGTAGCTCTGTGGTAGAGCACCCATTGGTTCAATTCCCAGTATAAGTAAATAAATAAATAAATGGCTGTTTCGGGAAGACAATGGACAGTGGAATCTTGTGATCCATTAGGCAGGAAGGGAATACAGAAGGAACCAGATTTGGGGTAAAATTTCCAAAGACTAAGGAATGAAAAGTGAAAGAAGAAAGCAAATTATGTATGTATTGTCTGGAGGAATAAAACTGAGATCCACTTTTTTTTTTTTTTGAAGCTTTTGATTCCCTGTCTTATAAAATGAGGCTTTTGATGTGGTGCCCCTAGAGGTCCTGTTCTGCCCAAGGAATCATATGCAGTGTGGCAAGGGGCAAGGCTTTCTTTGAGCAGCTTTTTCTGAGAGATACATCTCTTTTCCTAAGTGATTATTTTGAAAGTTCCTCTTCTGATTTTCTTACTGTTATACAGCTGAGATGAATGAGAAAGGGAAGTGTAGAAAGACAGGTTCTCTGCAAAGCACCCAGAGAGTTCTGCTAGGGCGCCAGGAAGCAAATTCAAGTTCTTATTCAGAAATTGGGTGGGGCTTTGGTGAAATAGCCCCTGATCAACACATGTAGGCTCCCAAGTTTTAGAATCAGTTGGATCAAGTTGTAAGCTGAACTGTCCTTCTGGTTGTCCCCTGGGCTTTTGTCTTGAGTTTAACCTTCATGAGTAGGTGTCATTGTGTTACTGTGGTATCCCCAGAACTGGCACACAGAAGGCATTCAGTGTTGGGTAAATATCTTCCCGGAATCTGGTACTGTGTTGGGCACACACAGCCTCCTGAAGCGAGGCTGAGACTCAAAGTTCCCTAGGCTAGGAAGGATTCCTCTCAAGGAAACCTCCCCTCTTATTATCAGTTAGGGTTAACTTGACCCTAAACTGTAACATCACTTATCCAAGATCTCACCCTGATTGCAAAGCAGGTCTGTACAGGTCTCTTCTTTTGTAACCCAATGCACTAGTTTCCATAGTGTAATTCATAAAAGAGTTTCAATACTCTGGTTAAAGAAGAAATGAGTAGCTAATAATAATAATAATAGCAATCATACAATGATGAAGGTGATAATGATGGTTAGCACAAATTGAGTGCTTGCTGTGAGCCAAGAGCTATTCCAAGTGCTTCATAGACACTAACATGTTTTATACTTTAGGCAATGGCCAGTAACAAGTGACACCAAAAACTACCATTTGTTGAACTCAGTGTGCCTGGCACTGTGCTAATTACTTTGAAATGCTAATTAACTGAATCCTCTCCAAACCCCTTTAAACTAAGTACTGTTTCTATCCCCAGTTTATCAATAAGGAAACAGAGACTCAGAGAGATTGTTTCACCTCTCTTTATTTTATGATAAATCAAATGCTTGCCCCTAGCTCAGTAGAGATCAAAGCCCATCCCCTTGACCATCATACTAGACTGCTGGGTCCTCTGAATCATTTTTTCCCCTGGGCTTCTTAACTCCCTCCCAGGGATTCTTGCAAAGGCCCAGAGTTTTCCTAAAAGGCAGGGCTGGCATTAATAATTCCCCCCTAAGTAACTTAGGAAGAGGGAGGATGAAAAAGGAGACTTGAACAAGAACTCAGGGCTGGTCATCCCAAGATGTCCATCTGGTTCAACCAAATTCAGCACCTTGTTAGAGGACAGAATGACATTTACCCCATCCTGCCATTCAAGGCCACCTGCCGTGGGCCTGTGTATCTCAGACTTACAGGCAGAACCTTGGAGTTCTGCAGGCAGTTCAGGATTCTGGAGGCAGAATCTTGTGGAGGAGGGAAATCTCCCATTCCATTTCAAACCTGATTCTGATTTCAGTTGAACAGGCCTTCACACCCCTACATGCCATGTGATTGGACACCTGGAGCATGGGTGGTAGTGAAGATCTTTAACAACTGATTCCTCTCTGGCACCCATCTGTTACAAAGGAATCTGACCCATCAAATTTGATGCCATCTAGCAGCCAGGGTTCCTAGTGCATGTCAAGTCCTGTACTAGATCAGAGGGACTAGCTCTGATCATCAGCTGTGACTACATCTATGAGCAAGTGGCAACTGCTGCCATCAGATGAGAGTGAGGTGAGGTGCACCACTTAGTGGGTGAGTCCTGATGGATAAGAAAGAGTATGACCTTGAGCAGTTGCAGCGGGGCCCTCTGCAAGGAGAAGACATGTCTGCTCAAGGTAATTCAATTTTTTTGAAGCCCATTTTTTTTCTCCCACATTTTGGTAGACTTCACTCCAATACAAACATGATTGGAGGATAAAATAGGAGAGAAAAAAGGTCTGGTTTTAACTCACTTGCTCCAAGTCTTTGTTGCCAACTGTTCCTAGCATCAAATTTAAATTGTAAATAGATATCCATCTTAGAAACCAATTCAGCACTCA